TAAAAAAAAAAAAAACCTTAACAATTCTAAGTCAAACAATTCTTTTTTTTTTTCTCTTTCTTTTTTTAAATCTCGTATATTTTTTTAACTAAATTCTATACAATCTTTAATTACATTAATTTATTATATACCTAATATTTATTTAAAAAAAAATTTTTTGAAACAATTACAAACGTAATAAAAAAATATGTCAATAATTAATTGACGTAAATCAAAATCACTATTGTAGTTACATATTAATTGTTTAATAATGGGATTTGTTATGTATTTTTGAAGGTCGCCCGTCAATAAGATTCACGATTCTTTATCGCCGAATTCATCTAAGGAAAGATTACGAGGTAGCAGACAAAGAACCGGCGAGACAAGGCACGACGAGGCGGGTGAGGTCGACAATGAATTAATCAAGGCTCCGCAGGAAATTAGTCGCGGCGGTTTCGATGATGTGGATGGTACAGCGACGGTGCGAGTGCGTTTCGAGATCGACGGAGCGAAGCCGAAGCGGAATGGAGTGCGATGTGAGAACGAATGGGATGTCGATGATCCACCGCGAGTGTTGAAGAAAAATCAGAGTGCGAACGATAATTTGAGGCCCGAACGACGCGAACGGCGACCGATCGCGAAACAAAATTGCACAAGCGAAGTGAATACGGAGAAGAGACAAGAGAGCTCTTCGCGGCAAACGGATCGTGATGTGAAAGTCGGTAAAGACGAGAAAAATGCGAATGACGAACTGGACTATTCTCGGATAAGCGGAGAGAACCCAGCGATTGTTGACATCGTTCAGCATTTGGTGGAATCCAGGTAATTACTGAAAATAATATACGCTATATTAAACGTACTATATATACGTATCATTTTAATATCACGTCTTCGCTCTCTTACTGTTCTAATTAAACTTAGATAGATGATTAAAATAAATAAAATATAAAATAAACACAAGAATCTCTAATGTCTTCGAAATAATGGAATAATAGATTATATAACATTTACAAATATCCAATATTCTTTTAACACTTTAATGCCACGTCTTCACTATACTCTCTCGTTCTGACTGAACAGCGAGAAAAATAAATTAGAATAAATTAAAAATAAAACAGAAGAAATATTAATGTCTTCAAAATTGCGGATAATATTAAATTGCGGATAATAATATTAAATAACTTTTATGAATGTACGATACCCAGTGAAAAATGATAATGGATGGAATCGACATCGAATTGACGTCAATTCGATATCGATCTCATTATCATTTCTCATTGAATATTCTTTTAAATCCAATTATAAGTGAAAGGCGAAGAAAAAATGAACGAATTAATGCAAATTTTATTTTACAAGGCAAAACAGTGTAATATCTCTTTTTTTTTTATGTTTCAAGGTACAATCCACAAACCGCAACGGAGAAGAGAATAAAAAGGATGCCATCATGTCGTCGTCAAGAAACTTCGAAGGAGATAGATCTAGTGGGTAAGACGGCGGGTGTTGTGCGTTAAAGTGTAGAACAGGTCTGCGGTATGAAATGATCCAGAGAAAATTATGTCGGAATTAAAGCGAGATCTTCCGGTAGTTTAGGCTTGTTAGGGTTGTTTAGGATCAACCAGTGCGCTAACCACAATACAGGATCGGCCGGTTTTTGCTTGCAACACTGTAAAGGGTGATTTATTTAGAATAAATCGTAGAATATTGAACTGAAAAAATTATCTGCAAAATATATCGTAAATTTTTGTCGATAAAAATTACTTTACCATTGTCAAACCTTCAATAAGAACGGGGTTAATAGTTTCCCATAAAAAATCTTCGGCCATGTCGTCTCTTAGCACAGGTTCAGTTATAACTGAAAACAAGTTGTGAAGAAAAATAAAAAAAGATTTCTAGTTTAACATCGAAATAACGTTAAACATTTAAGAAATTAAGTATTACAGAAAAATAAAACAGAAAACAACATTTTACATCTAGGAAAGAAAAAATGGATTTCTTTCTCGGCCTGTTCGCGATTGCAGCTGCCATGGATAGCATTTTTTAAGTTATCTCCTTTGCGACCATATTTCGCTCGAAGACTGTCAGGAAAATACAAACGCGCTTCTGTTACCTAAAACGATTCTTAAAATAAATCAAAAGAAATTGATTTTTCAAGTATCATTTGAGAATTCTAATAATCTTAACGTATAAAATTTGAAAATATGGCCAACCGTGATCGGTCCTATAATTCTTTTCCATTCTTCAACAGCGTTCTGTTTTGCTAATACAAATACTATAATAGATCCTGAGGACATATATGCCACCAGATTAGGAAAACTTAATTCGCCGAAGCGATTGTTGTAAAACTCTGCAACTTGTTCAGGCGTCAGCTGCAGCCAACGAGTCTGACAAATCTGAAATCCTTCTTCATATATTTGATTCTCGATTTCCTTTCTGTAAATCACCGCTTCCGGCTTTATTATGGCCAATGTATATTCGATTTCTGGTTCCTCTTCAACGGTCTTCTTAATTTTGTTTGTCTCAAGCACAACAGAAACCGCTGACGATTTAAAACTCTCTTCATCATATTTAACAAATTCATCAGAATAATCATCATCAGATTTTGTGGGACAAACAAATTTATACTGCAATTATCAAGTAACTGATAATGGATATTCATTATTTGTTTACGACAAATAATCTTTACAAATAATTTTATTGCGTTTCCATTTATCGAAGATATTTCTAATTGATGACTTACTATTCTGCTTGATCCACTGGAAGATTGTGTATCTATTGACAAAGTTTTTGTAGAAACGCATACCGTATCACTGCTACTGGATTGTACGAAATCGATTGGCATCCTATCAGATCCATTGGGAATTGTATATTCAAGGATATTTTTTCCAGGACGATACGGTGTAGGACACTTCGAAAAAAGAGTTACAGTTACTGGATCGATTTTCTGAATAGTTTTATCATGTTGCTTTTGCGAACAGTCACACATTTTTATCTCACACACAATCTACACTTTTTATAATTTTTTTCTATTGTGCTTGTTTACGTTTAAGGAAAAGATTTAATTGATTGGCATACAATCAATAAAATTTTCCTATTTGTGTCATTTATGGTTGCGAATATTATAAAAGGTTATATCAAGCTTCGATATTTATTTGTTCTGCCATTGTCATGGTAAAAGCACTAACTTTTTTAAATTATTCCTGCAGTGATCTTTTTAATCTCCGATTGGCGCCGCTACTTCAATTATCGCCATGTTTTCTTAACGAGAGTTTACTCTGCGATAAGTTAGCAAAGTTAAGAACATACTACTTGCGTAGGTGCATTCATTTTTAATGCTAATGTTGTACGAATATTTATCCAGCGATAACGGCTTTGAATTACGCAAATTTAAAGATTATACTATTAACTATTTAATATTATTTCCGCAAAATTAATTATTACGATATGCTTTAAGGCGTGCTTGAGCATTTATAATTTTTATTCAATTATTCCTTTCGATTAACTTTCAGATTCTCCAGGCAAACCGAGCGATAATGCCAACGTTGTTGTTAATGCAGCCCAGAAAGAGAATAATCAAGAAACCTCCAACGAGACGACGACGGTGAAAGTATTACCGGAAGTGACAGTACTACGCACTACGAATATAAGAAAGACAAGCATATCCATGCCCAGCAAACTCAACGAAATGGACGATCTTCGAATAGACAGACAAAACGTAAGTTAAATTATATTAATAAAGCGACAATATATAATTACTATTGCAATAATCCTTACTTTGTGAAAATTCATATGTTATATATGTGTGTCATTAATCCGAGGGATCTATCATTAAAATATATCGAGGAATTTTGACGACTCATATAAGTTTATGTACAGTATATTGCCGATTCTGTTAAGTTGATAATGATAGGCTAGAACTTGACAAAATTCGTAGCCAGTCGCGTCACTCAGCGACGGTCACGTGAGCGCACTCAGTACCGTAGCATAAGTTTTTAGCGATTCTTCCTTCAAATACTTAATCCTCTAAAATTTTATTCATTACCCTTTTGAAAGCATATTTTTGCAAAGTCGCTTCGATTGCTGATGTTGAAAATTGTCGAATTCTTTCCTGTCTTTTTTTAATTTTACTACAGCTGATTCCGTTATACCATAAGCCTCCGCTATTTCTCTTTCAGATAATTCTTTGTCAAAGTTTTCAATTACCTCCATCTTTGTTTTAATAGATAAATAAATTCTTCGGCGATTTCTTTCCACTCGACTTCACATTTGTTTATATATTTTGACATCGCTATTAATACCCGCATCGCATCGGCATTTTCGAAAATATTCGCACATACGTAGCTGCCGATTCTAACTTCGCAAGTTCCCTCCATGCGCTTATCACTTGTTGGAGGAAGAAAACTTGACAAAATCAGATTTGACAGAATCAGCACTGTAAATATTAGAAGAGAATGACACAAAATATACTGATGACGACAGAAATATTCCTTATATATCAAAAGAAAAAAGAGCTAAAGCCATTGCACGTAAAATTTTTAGTCCTAATCGTAAGACCATAAAAAGCGATAAATTGAATGGCTACCGCGTCGAGGCAAGTGATAAGTCACGTGACTGTTATCACGAGTGAAACGTCATAACCTCAAAGCAGTGATCATAGTCGTAAGATTCCGTTTCGTCGAAAGATTGCAAGCCTTATTATCAAGCAACGGGAAAAACAGTCACGTGATTTATCCCTTGCCCCAACGCGATATATAGTTAACCAATTTATTACTTTTTATAGTCTTACGACTGAAACTTTTACGTGCAATGACCTTTACACTTTATATGCTCGCTTGAAAAAGGTACCAAAAGTCATCAAACAATAACATTCCGCATATTTCTTATTCACTGACTAATCAGTATCAGTTCCTCAAATAATGGAGACAACATGTATTGCTTCTCTTCATTTTCGCACATTTATGAAAAGAAGCTTCATGATCATACAACTTAATTTCAAGTGATTAATATATGACGATTTTTCACTAAGGAAAAAATTCGATCTGTACTTTCGAGTTATAGTTGAAAGCTCTGTTAATAATATAATAATTGGTGATTGTTATATATAATCGGTGATTGTTATACATAATCGAGGATCGTTATTTATAATTTTATGTTAACTTTATTATCAAGTTAAGTGTTTTACATTATATTGTATACCGCAAGAAAAAACGGAGAAAGAAGCCAATAAATAGTATGGATCGGTATGAGTGGCACAAGACAGACATCAAGGATCACAGTTTGATATATTCCTTGGAGAATGCCTTGGCTATTGCAAAAAAAAGCAAATTGAATGTCATTCAGGAGGTGCGATTAAAAACAATTCACAGAATAAAGGCCGATATTCATAGTCCATATCCTTATTTTAAGTCAGTCTTAAGTAAGAACTACTAATGTCTTACTTAAGACTTTCTTAAGATGTTAATACGGCTCTGTGACTGATATTCTTATATTTTAAAACTGTCTTAGGTATAATTTTAAGACGTCATGAATCGAGCAGAGAACCATATATATAATTAGCATCTTAAGATATTTAAGACGATTTTAAAATAAGAACACTATGAATACCGTTCTGTATTCCCTGATTTATAACATTGATTTATAATATTTTAAGATTGTATCTAAGATGATTTTAAATATAAGAAAGCCGACTATAAATACTGGTCAAAGAATTCCAAAAATTCTATTGATTTAATAAATATCGCAGCAAATTAAAGGAAAAAAACTTTAGACAAACATTATATACGAATCTTGTATATTAAAAATAATAAAATATAATCTTCTTTTATGATTTTTAACGATAGTCTTCTTTTACAATTTCCGACAAATCCAACGTTTCTTTCTATTAATCATCTATTACAATATTCGTTCTCGCGTGTCACTTTAGAAAAAAAAAACAAAAGCTTTTTCAACAATATATGTGTTACATAACGTTTATTGTTTGCGAGTTACTCTGCAATATTCTACTTCGTAAAAAAACAAGTAGTTTACTCGACATGAACGGTAATATTGTTTCGCAATGTTATATTTTAGATTGAACTGTTTAAACTGTATTTTTTATAATTTTTTATATTTTCTTTGTCCTTTCTTTTTCTTTTTGAGGTTTAATCATACATCTTTTATTTTAAATACGCAAGATTTGAATGAATACAGGTGAAAATCTTTCATATTTCTGAGATTTTTTAGTTTAGCATCACAGATATTTGAGAAGAAACACAAAGTTTCGATAAGGTCAATAATTACGCGACGTGGTATCGATCATCAAGACAATATATCAGCAATTTTTAATCGAACGTTACTGCGTAACGTATTAATACTTACATTCAAAGAATATTGCCATGCTATGTAATTAGCGTAACGTTAATATTTTTAGAACGAAGGTCGAAAAATGTCCTTGAGTGACGTTTTGCTACAAAGAGACGGTACTGAGTGATACTGCCTAAAATATTCCATTTCTTGTTTGCTAAATTTTCCACTTGATATAGATGTGTAGTAAACATTGCTGATAAAGAATGCATTTCTGCATACGGTCATTGTACTTAATTATTTATCGCAATTTATACGCTTAACAATATTGTTTCGAATATTTCACATATTCCTGTTTGCAATTTTTCAGTATTAATTTGAAAAAAGAGCGTTAAAAACAAGTAGCATAAATCTAGATAAATATAAGATTCAATAAAATATTAATAGCAGTGATGTCTCTTATCGGTAGTATTTCTTCACGGATCAAATGTCAATAAAAAATAAGATGAACACTACACGCGTAAATCGAAGCGCATCATTGCACAATGCTTTAATGATCCATGTGAGAAGACGCAAATGACGTGATCGATAAAGATTTACAGCCTTAATTGACAATTGATCGACTATTTGATTTATCGTACAGGTGTTGACGTGGGTCAGTCATGCTTATTTACACCTGAATTTCGGATTGTGATGTTTCAGGGTACCGCTTCGAAATTTACGAGAGACGAGAGCGAGACCAGCAGCAGCGTGACTTTCAGTAACAGTGGCTCAACCCCGAATGGAAGTCCTCTGGGATCCGAAACTGAAGAGGAAGCAAATGATGAAGAATTGGCTAAGTGAGTGTTAGATTCGTATTGATTAAGATTAAGAGACGAATTGGAGAAAAGAATAAAGTTAAAAACCGGTTCTGCGTGTTTATGATTTTGACTAGTTTATGATTTATAAATTTGTATCGGACATAATGCCATATGGTTCCGATTAATTTAGTATTAGAATTTCAATTTGTTTAACGATAATTAAAGTTTTGTTAACGATTAGTTGGCTTCAATAGATTATTCACAGATGTGTGTGTGTGCAGTTCATATATAATCCAAGTGATGCTTTTCTATGAACTTTCAAGTCTTGAGTCGACGAATGATAATGTCGTAGCACAACATATTACATGCTGCTATATTTGCCTTTCCAATAATGATCTGATTCGCACTTATGTTAACCCGTTTCAACCGCTTAATAAATCTAAAAATGCTATCACCGAGTTTGAGATCGGAGAAACCGAACAGCCCCGTGTAGCTTACTCGCAGGAGACGGATATTTCGCCTGCAATTTTCTCTCGGTGATATGCGCTCTAAATGCGCAATTTGCATTGTAACACCCCACTAGACGCATACACGAGGTACTGTTTATCGTTCTCACTTGCGGTCGCCTTCTGACTGGACGGATAAAACAAGCGTACCTATCTGACTGTATTCACGGTCATCGTAAGCATCATCATCGTCAGGTCCGACCTTCCTTCATATCGCTTCAGGGTTATCGCACTATAAGAGTTGGCTCCCGTAATCGTTGGTTTCGGCTAACAGTCGCCGCTCGAACGCAATTATAGTTTCCTCGCTTTTTCGTATATATATAATTGTTCAAAATTTTCTACTATTTTTCGGACTTTTTGCGTCAAATATATGAGTGCATATTGAGTATTTAAAAATATTATGTTTGTAATTGTGGTTTTCGCATCGAAAAAATGACATAGTTCAAAGATTATATGTATAAAATATAAACTTAAAACCAATTAAAACATTAGCGAAGATATCAGTTCAATAATTCAATTATTAATTTATTACACAATATCAGTTTATCAATCTATCAATTAAAATATCAATATCTCTGCTAAGACGGCAAAATGATTCCCAGATACGATATTGGTAGCGCTGTATCATTGCAAAGGTACAATGATATATATCGATATCTTCCGAAAAATCTGAAACAAAGAAACTCACTGTTTATTTATTTAAGCCCACTTTAGTTAATCTGTAATTTTTGCGTCAGTTTCCAAGATAGAATTTTATTTATAATGTTATACGCTGTGTATTTTAATATCCGTGTATTTATGCATTTTTTTATACCTATATATTTTGATTCCTCGATATTTTTTGTATTATGTAGCAAAATTATAAATAGAATTCTGATACAAGAGTAAGTTAGATCGTCTATATTTTTATATATAATCGTTTGTCTTTATGATGTTACCCAGTCGATACTAACTAAAAGTAATATAACATCGATAGATCTGTTCGCGTTGCATGAACTTTTTGCGTTCAGTTCTTCACTTTCTTTATCTTCCACGTCTGAATATATTATATTTATCCTGTTATAAGTATAAAAGTTTTCAGGCAAGCAACGTGAACAAACCTAATAATATAATTTCGTACTCAACAATGTAACTGTTACGTAACAACATATATCACTACGTTTATTGTTTAATGCGAAATTATAACATTGATGTTATATTGCTTTTAGATTGTGTTGAATGAGTAATGATGAACTCGAAATTTTCTTTTGCAGAGTACCACTGCAAGCTCCACCGCGAAGGAAAGGCAGAATTGTATCATCCTCGGTCAATGAAAAAATGGCAAACGACACCACGGAACTTTCGGGTGTGCAAAGCGCGACTTCCACGATAACCAGCGTGAATAGTATTAGCAGTCTTTTAAAGGAGAAATTGCAATTATCGTTACCACAAGCATTGCGTAACAGTGCAAGACGTCAGAATGCTGATTATAGGTAAAGCGACCGAAAGTCGCGCATAATTATTTATCATGTCGAAAAATCGAAGTTCTATAGAATTTAAATAATAGATATATTGAAAGTTCTATAGAATTTAAATAATAGATATATTGAAATTTTTAATAAGAACTGTACATCAATTATTCGTATCATAATGATTGTTTAAAAGCATTTAATAATTTTTTGAAATCATTTTTCTACAGGCTTAAAGCATTTGTTGGTATCTTGTTCCTCTGCATCGTTTTCCTTGTCGGCTTCGCTCACATTTATTACACTCAGCATGTTCTACAACGAGCTTATTTTGAGAAATTTAGGTGAGCACCCATTGTGATGAAATATTACACATTAAAATTATATGTATTAGCGCATTATTGAAGAAGTGATATTTCGATAGTCGGCGGCATCGCTTGTCGTCTACTCTGAAATAACTTTCGGTCGTTTGCCTCTGCCAGGAAGCGCTTAATGGAATACATTAAGGCTCGTTTATCGTGCTGATCTCGTGCCAGTCTCAAAATGTGTATTCAATTGGTAATCCAACGTGCACGCTTAACTTCTCAGGGGCTACATTATCTTAGAGTCGTGGGAGGAAGATCTCAGTACCGATTTTTTTTATTCAATATTTTACACAATAAATTTTTCTTTATCACTGTACATAGAGCTTGATAAATACGATTATATGTATAATTTCCTTTAATTTTCTTCATTATTTCTTATGAAGTTTAAGAAAGGTTTCTCTCTAATAATTATTTATATCGATTTTGTTTTCAGATTCAATAAAAACGAAAGAGTGATGAGAGTCTACAGCAGTTCCGGAGCGGAAATCATTGCTGCGCGACTTGGTGAGGGTATTCCACCAAACACAGGGGTGTATCCTTGCCTTCCTCATCATCAACGACAAGACTCGGTCTGCCTTGAGTGGTTACAGCAAACGCGGCTTTACCTCGCGCACACGAAACGCGAGGGTATGTACTGCTACCACGTCACCTGGCAAAGTCTAAGTCCTTACTACAATCCCAAGGACTGCTTCGACTGGTCTTCGAAGAGAGGCCATTGGTATGGCGCCGGACAGATACAGAACATGGTGTATCCTCTGGAACGCGGCCGCCTAGAGCTGAGCCCATTTATCACGGGCGACGTAAGGAAACACCCGTTTGGCAACGTGCTGAAAAGATACTTCCTGAATTCAAAGGGTGCTACAATCTTGGTGGATCCCGAAACACCGCTTTATGTCTCAATCAACGCTAATCGTACCAACGACTTTTGCCTTCAGGCGAAACATGACGCCTTTGCTTATATTAATCATTTGACGCCGCTACCTCAGCTTAACTACACTATCTGCGCGACCGACAACATGAAGAGTTTGCACTCCTCAATGGCGGAGAAGTCTCTGTGGGACGGTTTGAAGCCCGATGAACTGCACGCCGTTCATTCTCTGCTGTCCGAACCAGTTTGGCAAATCTCGCCCATCAATGAGGCGGCCATTTACAACTATACAGAAGATGTGATCGCGCTGGGATTCCTTCGTCAAGGGCATGTCCTATTGAGTGAGGAATGGCAACCCAATCCAGGTGATTTCGTCTTAGACGAGGAACGATTCCCTTCTATGGAGGAAACTATCAATATTATTCATCGCAGAGGATTTAGAATAGTCTTCAGCATCCAGCCGTTTATCTCTACAGAATCCATCAACTTCAAGGACGCTGTCGCTAATAGATTACTGATCTCCGAAAGAGGAAGCGATCCTAGGATTCCAGCGTTGACAAGGTTGTTAATCAAGAATTTATTTATAAAAATTATTATAAATATATATTTTTTTATTATGACATATTTTTATAATCTGGCCGTGAGAAAATTTTTAAAAAGATTTATATTTAATTTCAGGTACAAGCAAAGTAACAGCGCCGGCGTGCTCGACATTACAAACAACAAGACCTTACCGTGGCTACAGACTAAGCTCGAGAGCCTCATCATGAAATACCATGTCGACTCGTTTTACCTCGATTTGGGCACTGCCCAAGATATGCCGCATTATTACAAATGCGAGCAGCCTCTCACGAATCCTGACCATTACAAGACTATCTTTACCCGTTCGATATTAGGCACCATACCCGTAATCGGCGTTTCAAGCGCCATTTCCAGACCACGGGCACCTGTCTTCGTGTCTCTGCCTCCCTTCCCGTCGTCCTGGAAGGCCATCAAGACCGTCATCCCCACCGTTCTCAGTTACGGCATGATCGGCTATCCGTTCATCATGCCAGGAGCGGTAGGCGGCGATGTGGCACTCCCGATGTCAGACAACAATCCAGATAATGACTACGAAGTAGATTTGCCAGATAAAGAACTTTACATCCGTTGGCTGCAGCTGTCCACCTTTTTGCCCGTGATCCGCTTCACTTATCTACCAAGCAAGTACTCAGATGAGTCGGTCCTGGAAATCGCCAAGAGACTGACTACTTTGCGGCAGAAAACGGTTACGCCATTACTGAAGAAGTACGCGAATGAGACTCTGGACACCGGTTTGCCTATTATCAGGCCACTTTGGATGCTGGATCCGGCCGATCCGGCATGCCACGTAGTGGTCGATGAATTTTCCGTAGGCGAAGAATTGATCGTGGCGCCAGTGCTTTATTCCGGTAGCAGGCAGAGGGAGGTATATTTGCCGGCTGGAGTCTGGAGGGACGGTATCGACGGAAGCCTAAGGAAGGGCTCAAGATGGATTCATAATTACAGAGTAGCTGAGGATAAGATCGCATATTTCGTCAAAATGCCAGACAATACGAGATTCTGAAAGATACGATGTCACTTCACCTTTTTACATCTGATGCGATGCAGGATAATATTGTCAAAGAATTTTGAGATCGATGACAAGGTTTGCTCGTATACAAAATGAATCATCACGACGAACGATTTGCCAGTATGATGAATACTGAACGCGCTTATCTACAAATTTTTATCGATTGTCTCGATTCTTTATTAAATGTACAAGATGAACTTGTTCCTCGGCAAGTCCCGAAAGTGCAAAAAAATAATCGTGCATTAACAAACATATATCATTGCATTTAAAACGACAAGAATTTTGCAAATGCGATGATGTATTAAATAAATGTATTTACAAATTGCGATTATATTAAATAGATATGAAATCAATATCGTGATCTTTGGCAGAGTGCAACAGGATTGTTATGTAGGGATAAATACTTAACGACATGTAAAGCCATGAGAGATTTACACGTACATTAGTTGAGAATGCAATATTTAACAAAAATATATTGAAAAGATTTGATAATAAAAGTATCCAATGTTACTGTATTCTATAGATATGAGATTATTGTATCAACATTAGTATTATATTATTACAATGCATATCATAGACCAAATATCGATACACATTAAAAAAAACAAGAATCAATTGTAGATTTAACTTAAGCTGTCAATTATATTTATTTTACCTAACAATGTGGTTTTACATTTCTCTCTACCTTTTAATAATCCATTAGTAAAATTGATTTATGTTATTTAAAAAAAAAAGACATTTTTTAATAATATAAAAAAATAAAGAAGTGAATACAATTGACGAGAATGTATCTGAACGCAGTTTTATAGGGCGCACGGGGCTATTTATTTTTCCTCCTTTTTTTCATTACAAACTTACACGACATATAAAACAAAATACGTGAGCATGCAGAAGCGGGATACGAAACTGGTGCGATTCCAAACTGATTTAACTTGACGATATTGCAGTCACGAAAATATGTATCTCACGTCACGATCATAGTAATTCGAACGTAGAGATTATTTTCGCGTATTTGCAGCATCGAGTTCTGTACGCAGCGGTATCACGCCGGTTTTGATCCTTGTGCAAAAACATCTCAAACAGGCGGCTGATCTACGGTCGATCGACGAGGAGAAAATCAAGACGCGTGAGGCACACAGGCGACAAATTCTAAGGTATAGTGTATATTTATTATATTATCATTTTTATCATATAGCGTAACATCGTTATTTCTATAATAATAATAATAATAATAATCATAGCACCATGAACACTCCACAGTAAGTTTTTTTTTTTTTTTTTTTTTTTTCTTTTAATTCGTTATTCGAAAAGAACGCGACGCGCTGATGCACTGCGACGGGTGAGAACCGCGATCGTGTAATCGTATAATATATAAGGAACTCGAACAGCACTAAAATATCAGAGAATATCCAAGCAACGTTCGGCGGTACAATCACAGCTTTCTCGGAACGTTCCTTGAACGTTTCTCCGAAATCTTTGTCGATCTCGCGCTGTCTCGCGCCGGAAACGCGAAGTCTCGCACTCTCGTTGCGCAACAACGAGATTTTCGACTGGATCTTCTCTTTTATCTCTTTGCGCCAGGAAACGTGATTTCTGACTAGAGCTTCTCATAGAATATCTGAGAAAATTTCACGGTGGAGGAAAGGCGCATCTTTTGATTTTTGTCGATTCGTGCCGTCTGTCCGGCTCGTGGGATAAGAAGCGATCGAGGGAAAAAAGCGCGAGCGAATCGAGAAACGTCGAGAGCGGAAGATCGCCATTTTCCTCCATTACCGGAACGACTGACAATTTTTCTCTTCTAATTAATAACATTATTATTAATTGTTCTTTATAGAGGAAATCATCGATATCACCGTTCTCGCACCCGTCGGGCACCGCGATTTTAGGGGTTCGTAGAGGTGTTGAGGCTCACGTTTTTTATATCTCGCTCTCTCCCTCTCTCTCTCTCTCTCTCTCCCTCTCTCCTGCTTTCTCTTTCTCGCTCTTTTTCTCTGTCTTTCTTTCTCACGCTCTCTATTACTTCCTTTCTTATGTACTTTGTTCATATATTATATAGATATCTGTATATATAATATATATTTTCTTCTTCCCTCATATTTCCCGCTAATCTGTTTCGGTGAAAGCTCGTTCCTAATCATTTATTTGTTCTTTTTTTGTTATTTTTATACTTTTTATTTAAATTACTCCAATAAATTCATTGTTTATTTAATCTATCCTGCGCGCATCATCATCGATCGACAATAGCTTCTCATTTAATAGTTTATTAATTTATTTTGTTTTGTTAAATTGAATTTCATAATTTTAACATCCTACCTAGATAACTGGTCATTATATTACTTGTCAATAAATAATACGTAAATACATAGGTACACATACTTCATCGTCATCATCTCTCTCCCTCCTTTCTCTCTCTCTCTCTCTCTCTCTCTCTCTCTCTCTCTCTCTCTTTCTTTCTTTCTTTCTTTTACTCTTACCTTTCTTTCTACTTCTCTCTTAAATACTTTTCTCTTGCACGTCAATTCGCTATCATACGTATGAAGGTATCGATAAATATAAAAATTCTTTATTCAAGTATATGATAGAAAGAGAACGATGATGATGATGATAATGACCCTCTCTCATGAACGTAATCGTAATATCAATAATATTAATAGTAATCGCAATAATAATAATAGTAGCACAATAATATTATTCGCAAAGATAACAAGCATAATAGTCATTAAAAATAATTGGTATGATAATAATCGTATTTATAACAATATCGATCGTTCTGGTCTATCTTTTTCGATGTCCCTTACGCCTATTCTTTCTCTTTCTTCTATACGTTTCTTTCTATTACAAAATTCTCGCTCGTCCTCTCTTTCGCCGATTGGCGAAATAAAATCTTGGTCGCGCATGTCTCCATAAAACGACATTGTTAGACTCTCGCTTTCTTGACGACTGATTTTCGAATAAACGCGCCTCTGCGTCCGGTGAATGCGATTTAAAAAAAAATGATCATGAAACGCAAACAAAGAATGAACAATAAATAATCGGACGAATGACAAGATGAGCACGTAGGCGATAGATACATATGTATGCGCATGGGAAAGTAAATCTCGCGATCGAAACAGAAAATCCTGTGTAACTTACAGGCGGTAAAAAACTTACGCACTAATCTATAGAAACTGGGCCCGAAGGCCACTCTATCGCTTCTCATTTGCAGCGACAAGACAAATCGCTTTCATCGCCGTCTCCCCCGATATCACCGTATCTCAATATCGTCATCAACGATCGGTCTAATCGAGCACCATCGTTTTCGTGTAGGCACGAATGTGTCTCGTATAGAGGAGAGCTTTCTCCGACTTTCATTCAGCGAAATCCGCTTTTAATCATCAAGATCACGCTTCAACCAGATAATACATACGAAAGACGTCCTGATCTTTTAGGCGTTCTCATTTTTCAAACATTACTTAGAATTCTCTTGATTCTCATAATAAAATCATAGGATGTCTATTGACACGACAGTCTATCATTTTTGTGATATTAATTTAATTTCGTCAAAGTATTATTTGCGTCTGATCTCGCAAGAATGGTGAGTAAAGGTGTCCTCTATAAGTTACAGTTCGATATTGTGCTTAATCGCACTTGTCTCTCTGTTTTACTTCTTGTATATCAATTCTCCTTCTGGCCTATATATTCTCCTGTAATTCCGGATAATCAACTTCTACGTACACGTTCGGTACATCCTTAAATCGCAGCTACAGTCACTTTCGCATCGAAACCGACACGTTTTGATTTCGATTCGAATTTAATTAATTCAAGACGATACATCGACTCGACATGACACTGTCGGCATGCGACAATTGCGATCTAGGGGTACACACGCAGGGTCGGCACTAGATGGATTTTTTAAGGTACAATTATAAGAATATTAAGAGTCAAGATATTTGGTACGACCCGGTTTTTTTTTCAATCTTTTAGAAAAGATGGGGTATTCCCAGACAGCATAAATGTCCAAAATTCATAAAAAAACATTCGAAAGAACTTAGTTTCCCAAAAGTTTTTTATGTAGTACAGACAGTTACTGTGTACATGCATTTTGAACCTTTGCACTGTTTGAGCAAAACTTAACCGCCATCAACTGCCTCACGAAGACTCGCTGATAAACACGTACTCCTGCATCAGGAAGTCATAGTATACTTTCGCCGTAAGATGAAAATGAATGGAAGGCCTGCCATCGACTTACTAAAAATAATCATATCTTATGTAGAATCTCAAATAAGCGCGATGTTCGGCACATTTTCTTTCCGCGTTATCATATCGTTGTAGTCGTCTTATGTCATGTTTTGACTTAAAACATCTCAGTTAAAAAAATGTTAAGTACAAAAAGTTTGATCTTAATCATTCCCCGAATGCTGATTTCACAACCAAACCAACGACAAACCGCGAAGTTCATCTAGGAACGAATATTTATTTAAAGATGAACGATTGGCCTTCTTCAGACATTGTCGATACTTCAGAAAATAGCGATACTTCAGAGAACATCGGTTCTCACGCAGTTGGGATTTAAGTACCGCAACAGATAGAACTTTGTTCGATCTGTCGATGACGTGATTTCTTATAGCGGAAATTTTAACCCCTTTCTTTTGATTACTTCTCTTCCTTAAGCCTTTCTTTTGACGCTACGTCACGGTTAAGCATCTCTAGCAACTCTTTCTTCAAGGTCCATCAATCAGTTTTCTCTGCCATCATCGTTTTTCTTTTGAAGAATTCTTTTGGACAGGTTATTTTTCGCTTGATAAATCCTCCTCTATCTTAGGAGTTTACAAATGTCTTCAGGTATTTCCTCGAATCATATCTCGAGAAAACTTTCCTGCAATACCTGACTGTGATAGATGAACTGTAAAATTATTTGTGCAACGCTACAATTATTTGATTACTGTAAGATACCTTTTAATTTTCGTATCTGATACTTCTTTTAATAGGAATAGTGAGACGATACATAGCCAGGTCAAGATTTTGGATGCGGTCCACTTGACACTACAAATATTTCGAAGTATTTGATTAACCAATCGGAAGAAAGAATTTTATTAACTGATTTTATTAACTAATCAAAAAATGATTTAAATTTGTAATATCAAATGAATCGCAGCCTTTATTTCTTTCATAAAACAATGTCATTGTCCACTATGCAAATCTCGCGCCAATATTATTAATATCTGCAAAATCCATATCAAATTAAAGATCGAGATTAACCAGTCAAAAGAAAGAACTAATATCAAGTAATAGCAAACTTTGCTTTGATTAGTCAAATTCAATCTTAATCTGAATCTTTAATTTGATACAGAAATAAAAGATCATCAGTGCTACGATCGCTGTTTTCTAAAGTATCATTCGTATCACAATTTCAGAAAACGAAGGCCTTCAGTCGAAAGTAATTTAAAGAAACGATCGAAGATGAATTGTTCATCCGTCGGATGGACGTTTTTTTGAGACATATCATCATCGCCCTGCACTCTCCACAACAACGAAACGCTCTATATCTATCTCTTCCAGCATCATCCTCGTCGGACTCCTCGGCTAGTTTGGACCGCGTCGTCTGTATGGTTGACGCAGCGAATCTATCAAGTAACCACCACTCCTCCGCGTATCTCTATTCTCTACGATATAGAAACACGACACACAGATAACTCCTACCCTAGTACTTCTCGATGGAATTTAGCTCCGTTTTACCTATGCACGAATAGACATTTATGACGAGAAAGGGACCGTTAGTCACGTAACAACGAAGGATAATGTTTTTGTAGATGAAACGTGGATCGTTCTCCTCGTGCCTCATGTCCTTACGTATCCCGTTAAAGGATAATACGCAATCCATCGACGACACGAACGATAAATCCTCCCGAAACTTGCGCGTCTGTCAAACGCGTATTCTATCTTATTCACGATAGCCATATTCAGCAGAATATTTATTTTACAACTGTTGGAAGTTTTCTTCGTTGAAAAGAATTATTCCTTTAGACATAAAAGTATAATCCAAACTTGAAGAAAATTTCTGACAATTGCAAAATAAATTCTGATAAACGTGGCCAATAGGTCTATTCTTTATCGATGAACTGATGCACTCTAGTGCAATAAGTTGATGTGAAAGAAATATAATATGTTCCACACCTCAACTTATACCATGTGCAGTTCAGAAAATTCTTTGATAAAGAATAGACCTAATGTATGCCTCTCCGCGTAAGTTAAAATGCGGTACTTCTCTTTTCTCTTTTTTTTCTTTTTTTTTTTTAACTGATACACTAAATACTACGCGGTGCTCTTGAAGCGGCAGCTGTGTCAGAGATATTAAAAGTTTTACTTTGATCTGCTGATCGAGGAGAGAATGCGGGCGAGGAGGTCTCGCATCGATTGTTCGATCCGTGTTCAGTGGATCAAAAATAGAAATATCCTAAAATCAATTTATAAGTTTCGATAACTAGCGCACAGATTGTCACAGAACCGCAGCGCTTAAGGACCGTCGTCGCTTTGCGATCAATCGTCGCTCATGCAACGTCATCGCTTTGCTTTAGCTTCAGCGCGAAATCTTCGCAAAAATGTCTTTGACTTGAGCAGTGATCGATAAGATATTGCAGGCGGTATCAGCACACTACGGGCTGCGTACAGTGCAGAATGTGGAAATATAAACATCCGTTGATGAACGTCACTGTTATCAGCTCAACATGAATCTTAATCAAATGTAAATTTCTCCCTATTAATAATCGGCTTCTTAGAAGTAAATAATTAATTTATACCTTGTATCCCCGTGCAAGAAAAGAAACCCTCGCGATCTCTCCCTTATTTTCTCTGTTTCTTTCTTCTCGTCGCCCGCATCGTTTCCTCGCGAAGGAATAAGGAGAACGTCCTAAATTAGATTAAACAATCCCAATTTGAGACCTGAGCGCGATTCCCACAAAATCGGCTTCGCTTCTTCAGGACTGCCTCTACATTGTTCGACGGGATTTCTACGATCCTGCTAGGCCGCGGAGCTATGACCGCGAGGGAATCTCGAAAATTCGAAATGCTGTTCGTCTTCGGGTTCTAGAAGGGGGGTCAGGAATCACCTGACGGGACGGTAGGTCGGCCTGAGCGCTCGACTCTTTTTCTCTTCTTTTTTTCTATTTTTTTTTCTCTTGTAGAAATGGATCCGAAAATGCAGAATGATAACGCATTCCGGATGCCGCTCAGAACTCGACTATTACGGCTGAGCAGGCTGCCAATCCCTAGAACTCGAGCCTGTAGGCGCTGCAACTAGTCTCATGATCCTGGAGATTGATAGTACACCTGGATGCGGACGGCGATAGATCTATGTGGTTCGCCGCGAGCGCTTCCTCGTTATCGGCGACCCAATAGCCCAAAGTATCGGTGTCGTAGGTCGGAATCATGGTTACCTCTGAAAAAAATATAAATAATTAAAAATTAGCAAAGGCTATAAGAATGAATAAAAGAAATAGTCAATAAAAGCCTAATACAGATGTCGAAGCGCAATATTCAAACATTTATTATTAAATTATTACATGAAAAATATATTTATAATAAAATGTAATCGTATCGCAAAGGAGCATTGTTTTAATTCTCCTCAGTAAAAATTAAGCAGTAAATATGAAATTAAAAGAGTTTAAAGGTAAAAATAAGATATAAATTATGTACGGACACCAACAACTATAGATTATTCGCAAGTATAAATGAATTATATTTTGTAAGTTCTAATTGAATATGAAAATATAAATAATATGAAGACATAAAAATTATATCAAAATACTCGGAACATGTATCAAAATGCTCGAAACATGTATAATTAGCGTAGATATTATTTTCATTTGAATTAACATTTGAATATTTATGATAAATCTTAATTGAGATTTAAATCTAATTAATATTGCTTTTGTCATGATCAAGATAAGTTTTGACACAAATTTTGATAAAAAGAAGTTATGATAAAGAAATAAATAAATAAGTAATAAATATTTAGGAATCAATTAAATTGTCAGTTATCAAGAAAAATATAAGTAATATTGATCATTGTAAAATTTGAATTATATTCTTTAATTTTAAATAAAAATAATGTACAAACATAACAACAATTTATCATGAAAAGATGTAAATCTATAATGTTTGCAACATAATCTTAATAAACTTACCGAGATCTTTGTCCTCCCAAGTCTTTTTAGCTTCCAATAGAGCGTCATAGACTTCCCGGCTGGGCTCGGTGCCGCTAAAAACGTAATATCTCGCTCGCACTCTCTTGAAGAATTCTAAGGATGTGTAATACGAATTTCCGTGATGGGGCACATACGCCAAATCCATGTAAACCGGTTGGACCTTATTCTTTGAATCTTTCATCTTCTTCTCGTTCTTACCGGGGCTTTCCGAACGTTTTTTGTTCTTGATATTCTCCGACTGAATCTTCTTCGCTTGTTTCCGTTCTTTTTTCGGTGTACTAGGTGCTCCCTTGTTCGATATCTCATTGGTCACTGGTGCGGGAGAAGGCAGCCTAAGAGGTTCTCCCCAATTTTTTACAACATCGAAATTCAAAGTATCGGAAGTTGCCTCACTTGAGCACGATGGAGATTGAGCAGAGTTCTTCAGATTAAACTTTTTGGGCGGTTTAGGAGACGGCAGCCCAAGAGGGGTTCCCCATCCCTCCAAAGGATCTTTTTTCGAGTCACCCTTTGAATCATCTTTATCATCCCGGAACGAAGATGATGGATGATCTTTTTCGTCGGTAGCTTCATGACGAAGGCTACCATTCGTGTACCTGGGCGCTATTCCGCTGCTGAAGGTCCCTCCGGGCTCCTTCATCTCTTTATCCATCAGAGCTTTATCAAAATCAAGATCGGCCTCGTCGACATATCTCTTTGCGTCCGGTTTTTCGCCGTAATCACCGGCGGGCTCCTTTTCTACTGTGAATCGACTGTGAATGGGATCACTGCTTTTCTGCATACCAGTCTCACCGTGGAAGGTTTTCATAGCAGATATCTGAGGCGGTACCGCTGGCAGCTCACCGTAGAAGCTGCTGCTCATCGCGGCCATCGAGAATTCCACTTGTTTCTGCTCCTCTCGTTTATCAGAAGATGATTCATAGCGATGCGTTGTTTGCGGTGAATATCCGACTTGCGAAGTTGAAGAAAGAGACGAACTGGGTGGTTCATCGTCAGAATAAGTATGTCGTTCTTCGCTGCTACCCCATGGTTGTGTCATGACTTTACTACGTGTGCTACTATGTTCACTCGATGGACTGGCTGGACCACGATCTTTTTCGCTAATTACGTCGTCGGATCCTCCACGTTGCAATTCCGAAGATTTAATGCTGCCGATAATGCTACTGATCGCACTTTCTGCGGCATCTTTACTTGGCAGACGTTCGTCTACCTTCACATCAGTCTTTTCCGCCAACACAACTGTCTCGCCTTTCTCATTTGTCGTTTCTGTGACCTCCCTGGTGGTCGTTACTATTTCACCTTCGTCGGATACCGTCTTTGTAGTCGTAACGATAGTTCGGATCATCTCGCCCGATCTAAATCCTTCCGGTGTGCTCGTAGAGGATCGACAATCGGGTCTTTTATCGGGCGTCGATCTACCCGATACGTGAGGTTGAACTACAGCACCGTCTCTGATCAACGGCGACGTAGGAACCTCTGGCGTAGATTTGCCACTGAAGACGATATCCTTAGGCAACGATATATCTGGTGAAGACTTACCCGAATAACTTTTGTCATCAGTTATAAGTTCTCGTATCAAAGGAGACACCGGATGTTCAAATTTGTCTGCGTCTAAGCGTTCTGTTATTGTAGATAGA